AATAAAAATATTTGAACCAAATTATAAGCCCGAAAATACAATAGTATTTTATACATACATGCATGATAATAATTAATACTCACTTATGTCACAGAAATTTCATGTGTTCCACTATTTTCATGCAAATGAATGCATTACGTACAGTAGCATGCATATACGAATGCATTTATTATGATGAATGTGAGTGTGTATAAGGTGGGTTTGACTATTCTAACATGAATATATGATCGGTTTAAAACCCAATAACTCACAAATTAAAGTGAATTGAAACTTTCATTTGTGAATTAATTTTCCCTATGGGATGGATGCTTATCTAAAGCCTCATCATCTCTCATTTTATACACCAACAAACAAACCTTCTTCCTCTCATATGTAATACTTTCCTTCCTTTTCCAGCTTTTCGGCGACCATCCGAGTTTTCCGGTTAAACTTTCCGGTAACTTTCCTTCTGAATTAAGCCATCCGATATAGCTCATAGTTCGCCTTTTTTTAGTTCGTTGGAGCTCCAAAATATTGGAGTGATACCTAATTCGGAAACAAACGTCGTTTTATCTTTGGAAATGTTGCATCACGAACCGGATGCAGGACCGTACATGACATTTTATAGGGCCAGGGTGAAATGAAAATAGAAGACCCTTAATATATTTATTAATATAATTTTTTTATTTTTAAATATAAAATATATACAAATAATTAAAAAAAAAATGATTTTTTTGAGCATTTTTAGATGCAAAATCATTAGTAATAGTATCAATATCAATTTTTTCTAACATTTCCTTTTCTATATATAACATAGCTAAATCATCAAACATTGATGATCTCAAATAATTTTTTAATAATTTCAATTTAAAAAACTTCTTTTTGCCGAAGCTATTGTTACCGACACAGTTAATAAAATACGATAAGCAATTGAAATATTTAGATAACAATCTACCGTATTAATATATTCAAGAATTTCAATTGGTGCTTTTAAGTTATCCGATAAAATCATTTGCAAAACTTTTAATTCAGAAATCATTTCTTCTAAATCAATATCAACTGTATTTTCATGAGAAATAGTAGATGAAAAAATCGTACAACATTCTTTGAATTATTTATCATCTAAAGATTTTAATTTTTGTTAATTAAACCAAAAACCAAATATATTATTAAATATTTTTAATTCCATAATCTATCATTCAATGAATTTATTGTCATATCTACAACAACTAAAAAATAATTAACTCTAAAAAGTTCTTCTCCCCCTATTGTACTTATTTATTTTGGTCATCATCATCATCAAAAATTTTTTTCTAATAATTATATGTTTTGTTGGAAATATACATTCAATATTAATTTCAAAAGAAATATTATTTGCAATTTTCATGCTAGTAGCAAATCTTCATTTCTATATTTTTCAAAAAATAACAAAGCATATTCTAATCGTTTGATAGTTGTATCAATGCACACAAATTCATATTATAATTTTTTACTTACACTATTAGTTACAAATAAAATATCATACCAAATAATCATACCAAGTAAAAATTCATATGATTCAATTGAATTAATCAAATTTTCGGCTTCACTTTTTGATTTAGTATCATCACAAATATTGCATTATTCTAACAAAGCTAATCTAATTTGAGGAGCTTGAAATCTAATAGATTTAACACTTTTAATTCAACTTTTCTAACGAGTATTTGATAAAAATTTTAAAGTTAAATTAAAAATATTATCAAGCAAAAATTTTCATTTTTTCGTAGAACTTGAAAACATTGTATATATGCATTGTATTGTATAACTCCTAAAAAATGATATTGCTTTTACACAAGAATGTATCATATCATAAAGAGTTACATTAAGACTATAACAAGTACAAGTACAAGCACAAGACATACATATATGCTATAGGATTAATATCCAACAATCTTTTTTGAATTTTTTTATGGTTACCATTCGTATTAGAACCATTGTCAGCCTTTATCTCTTATATTATCAGTATTAAAATCAAGAGCTTTGAGTGCATATACTAATTCATTAAAAAGTTTTAATCCACTTGTATCATTCACTTCTAAAAATTCTATAAAATACTCTTCTATTTTTATTTTGTTAGTTGACATATTTACACACTGTACGATCAATGTCATTTGTTCTTGATGACTAACATCTATAGTACAATGAAAAATTATAGAAAAATATTTTGATTTTTTGATAATTTCTATGATTGAATTTCTAATATTGTTAGCCAATAAATAAATCAATTCATTTTAAATTTTATGCCCGAGATAATGATAATGAATTTTATGATTTTGAATACGCCTAATATAATCTTGAATTATTAAATCAAATTCTTCAATCATTTCAATAATTCCCAAAAAGTTATAATTACTATCTTAATAAATTTTTTCATTACATCCACAAAAAGATACATATTCTTAGAAAGACATTTTACAACATAGATTATCCTCATTAAAATTTGTCTCAAATGTTCTTTTTTTTCTTTTTTTTTTTTTTTTTTTTTTGTTTTCTTATTGCATATCTTTCCCAATTGTTTGATTATTGTTTTATCTAATTTTTAATTCATTCAAAATATTCATGTGTATTATATATTCAACACTATTCTCATGATGTTTAAGTCTTTCTCCTAAATATTTCCAATCATTTAGGGTATGTTTGACCATTAGTTATTAGATTTCAGCTGTTAGCTAATTCAATTGCAATTAGCTTTCTGTGATGAAGCGTTTGGTAAATTAACTTATTATACTAGTTGTTTATACGTAAAATGACAATTAAGAGTATTTTTATATTTTATTTTGTAATTATTAGTTATTTGTATTCTGTTACATATTGCTTAAATTATTATTTTACTAAACTTATAATTCCAAATTATTTTATTTGTTTTATTTGTTTTTAACATAAAATTTACATGCTAAAAATATATGAAAATAAATTTATATATTTTATGATAAAATGATTTATACGTAAAATTAAATAACTTTAATTTCTTTAAATTCCAAAACTTAAAATTATAATTTAACAAAAATAATTACTAAATACTACAAAAAATAAAAAAATAAAAAAACACTAAAACATAATAAAATGAGAGTCACATAATATATATATAAAATATGTATAATGTAGTAAAAGTCATCCAAACTAACATTCAAAATATAACACAAACCTAAAATCGTCTGCATTGCTTATTTGGCTAAGTTGATATAAGACTATAAGCGATATTGTCTCGAATTCTAAACATCTGTTTGGAGGTAGAACTTCCAACATTTTCATGCTCGAAAATAGCTTCAAGATCAAACTCATTGCAAATATCCAATGGGACAAAATTAAGACCATCATTCATAAATTTAAATGTAGAGTCAACAATCTTGCTCAACCTGATGTTGTTATGCAAAGTAAAAGCCGCACAAATGATTAAATTTTGCACTTCCACTGAATATTTCGGCAATGCTTTGAGTATTTTCCATTGAGCCTTGAGAACTCCAAAAGCCCTTTCAATAGAACTCCTTAACGACGAATGATAATAATTGAAAGTTTCTCAATATCCCCTTGGACCATTGCCACGAAAATCCAATTGATGGTACCTTATCTTTGAATATGGTGTCAAAAAACCATCTCGTTCTGGATAATCTTTGTTTGCTAAATAAAATTTTCCTATAAATGCAACAAAATTATTGTGTAATAAAATAATTGTTTCTAAATAAACAAACATAAATAATATGAAATTAAAAAAAAAAAAAAGAAAAATACCTAGTGAAGATTTTGGAAAATTTAATTTAGGATCATTGATTGTCTCTAGAAATATCCGTGCATCATGTGCGGACCCCTCCCATCCGGTCAAAACGTAAGTAAACAGTAAGTTAAAATCGCATACGGCAAGAACATTCATAGTTAGTGATCCTTTTCACCCCTATATCGTAGTTGGATTTCTTCTAGAACAACCACAGTGGTATGTGTGCCGTCAATAGCTCTGATACAATCCTAATGATATATAAAAAATTTGCAAATGAAATTAAAAAAAAAAAAAAAAAAAACAATATAAAATTTTAAAAGAGAAATTTAAAAAAAAAAAATATTACAAACCTTGAAATGTGGCATGAAATACTTTGATAACTCAGTGGATATGCAAATTAAATCATTAGTGGCATCAAGTTTAGACACAATTTGGACTTGATTAGCCTATCCAATATGTGAGTGTTTTAAGGGGTATTGAAGAATGCGGCATTATGGAGTTCATTTATTTGGGGTTCAATAATATACGGAGATTTGTTATTTTGTGGTTTAAAATTAAACTTAATTTGTTAAATAAAATTATTCTATATCCTAAATCCTAATATATATTCGAAAAGTGAAGCCAAGGAATTGAGTTCAATTTGAAAAGGCCTACTCACAAAATCAATTTGGAGATTGGAATCTGACTTGGCAGAGTTGGGTTTGTTTGGTTGGAATACAATGAAATTATAAATTTTCTTTGATTGTATTCTTGGTGGCATATTGTATTTCAATCTTCTTTTTATTAGTCCATTTTTGTTTGTTCCAACTACGCAAATTTGCCTTAAATCTTTTGCATAATCTCAATTTAAAAATTTTATTGTATTTTGTCGGTTGATTTGAAATTAATATATTATATATATTTTAATAATATTTATGAAAAATTAATTTATTAAAAAAAAAAAGAAGAAGAAAACAAAGTGAATTTGACCTAAAGTTAATCAGCACAGTTACACATAACCCATTGAGTTGAGCAACATTATTGCGAAATGTGAACGAGACTGAATTAGTAATGCTTTAATTTGAAAAGAGAGAGCAGAGCATTTATTAATTAATTAATGCACTTGGGATGTTCTCTGCTCCTCTCTTCTCTTCTCTTCTCCTCTCCTCTCCTCTCCTCTCCTTAGACGTTAAGGATCGATCCATCGCCCAATACTTGAACACTTTTTCAATTTAATTTAATTTAAGCATTGCATTTATTACAACACAACACATCATCATCATCATCATCATGACATCTACCACCATTTATTTATTTATTAATTAAAGAGCCACTATGGACTGGTGGGATAAATCCAACACAGCATCAAACTAAATAAAATGTTGAGCTCAATTCTCTTTACATTAATGTGAATGAATATATACGGTTTTGCTAACTACTGCTATATAGACAAAACAAAACCTGGCTGTGCGTGCAGCAGCTGCAAGCAAGCAAGCATACTCATGTCGTCGTATCGTATCGTGTAATAAATGAATCAACAAGGAACAATGAATGAACAATAACAAGTATGTAGTATCATAGATCCCTCCGGCACAACGGGCAAGAACCGTGTCTCACCAGCCACGCGTCGATGCACGCCACATGAAACATGTGCTCGCAATGTGGCAATCGCCGCACACTCTCCCCGACCTGGAAGTCCTATATTCAACACACAATTTTAGTGGTTTTGAAATTGATTTTAAATCATGTGTTGTTAATTTTCAATTAGTCTTTTTTGATGTGAATGTTTTTAGCCTTAGAAACTGTCAATTTGAAATCACCAAAGAATCATCTAGCAGAAAAACAATGAGTGAGTGAGTGAGTTAGTACCTGAAGGCACACAGAGCACGACACACAGTCCCCCGAGCCATCAAAATCGCCATCTCCTCTGCTAATGGTGAATTTTGGGATCTTCTCCACTGTGTCCGCCAACAAACCTTTCGCCCCGCCAGTATCGAAAATGTTGTGAACATCCTCAAACGGCGCTTCGACTGCTCCCATCTGAGCAACCAACCAACAATCAATACGAATGTATGTTAGTAAGTAAATGGAAACCTTAAACAAGTGAATGCTAATCTAACCTGACTTTGCACTGCACTAAGCATCGCTGGACCAATTCGCTCGCGCACAAGCCTACCGCTTAGAAGGCTCGCTATAACATCAATCTGTTGCAATTTCAACATAAATTATGGACTGTAATCGAAACATGTGATATTTTGAATGACTATGCATTGTCTCGAAACAAGTAGAGCTCATTGTGATTCTATATGTGTCGAATTCTCAACCTAATTATGTATCATCATTGCTCTCACCAAATAGAGAAGACAGCCCAAACCGGATTCGTCGGATTGCCATAAAAGCAGTGACGATTCAAAAACCTCGATCGAGAAAACTGCCCCGGAGATTGCCCCTACTGATGCACCTCTAATGAACCCGCTCTCTGTCTCTTGCCCGATCAGAGCTCCCGTCATTGCTCCCAGCAAAGTGCCAACTACACACCATGTTAGATGAACTCATTAACAATCAATTATCTGTCACACAAATCCTTCAATTTTCGAAACAAATATCATTCGATATACATATGTCTCTGTACTGGCAAATCTGATTTTTCAATACAAGGAAGAAATTATATCGAAAATCCAATCAACAACAACACGCCCAAATTATGAAGCAGAGCAAAATTCAGTTTCAGAACTAGAAGCTGTTTTCAAACGCCCAATTTGATCGACGCATACTGGAATCATCATCATTCATACCAAAAACAAAATAATAATAATAATAATAATAATAAAAGAAAACGAGAAAGCGAAAGACCTAAAACAAAAACCACAATAATGAATTTGCACATATAAATTGGGAACGAGAAAAACAGCAAATCATAATTCATTAAAAATTTGAAATCCAGTCCCACAATAACGAAGTAAGGTCAAAATCCATCAACAAATCAGGGAAAAAAAAACCAAACAAGCAAGCACTCACCCATGGCGAAACAAAAGGTGAAAATTGCGGATAAAACGTTCGCAACTACCGCGGAAGCTGCGCATCGGACGAAATCTGTGACCCTATTTACAAGAGACCCGAAAGAGGAATACGAAAGCGAGGAGGAGGAGGAGGAAGATGATGAAGAAGAAGAAGGGCGATTAGAACGGGAAGGGTACGCATAAATCTCCATGAATTCATCAAAGAGAAAGGAGTCAATGAATATTCATTCGGGTTTCCATTCGTTTCAAGTATGTATACATACATATATATATATATATGTTTTATGTATCCCAACCCCCCCCCCCCCCCCCCCCCCCCCCACACACACACACACACACACACATATACCTTTTTTCGTGTAATCGGTGGGCGTCGCCCGTGCCGGAGACTTTTAGCATTAGATCCGTGTTTATTTTACGCTAATATTTAAGTATGTCTATATCATCTCCTAAGTATTTATTTATTGAGCGTGTTTATTTATATATATTTAATCATATATTATATTCAATAAAAAAAAACACAAATGAAAGACACTTGGATGTTATTGTTTGAATTTGGAAGATCCGTGGGGTTTTAGCTTTATATTCAAATAATATTTTATAAAATATAGAGTCCACAAGTACAAACTAAGATAATTATATTGAATAGTAAATTTATAGAGTATCCTATCTTATTCCATCTCATTTTAATTAAACCCTTTATACAATTTTAATTTTTTTATTAACCTTGACGTTAGGTTAAATAAATTTGTTTAAACATGCTATTTTAGTTTTATTGTTTTTTTAATATATATACATTAAAAAAAAAAAACCTTTGCCATATAGGTGTATATTTTTTTGGGAAAGATTTTACTTTACTTTAATTAAACTATATAGATTACTAGAGATTGTGACTTGTTTATGAGTTAATTACTAGAGATTGTGACTTGTTTATGAGTTAAATGAAACCAAAACTAAGGATCGTTGGGGTAAAGAGAACGAGAAATTCTAACAAAATAGAGCAAACAAATGAAATTACATAAAATAAATAAATAAATAAAAGTACTTCCTTCGTCACAATTCAAAGGAATTTTTTGAAATTTTGTAATAAATTAGAAAATAATACTATTTTTATTTAGTTGAAATGTGTAAGAGATTTTAACATTTTTTTCATTTGACTATATATATACAGTAATTGTATGTGTAATATTTTATTTATAATTTAAATAAAAATTAATGATACTTTAATATTAGTGTATAATTACTTTTTTTTAAAATGAAATATGAATACTTTATAGTAAAATAGACGAAAATAGTAAAAAAAAAAAAATACTTTGATTTGGGATAGAGAAAGTATATTGCAAGCAAAAAAGAAATGATAAATTAATTAAGAAAAAACAATGAATCAGATAAGAGAAAGTCTTCGTCAAATGAGAAAACTAGAGGTTAAAATAGGCCAAGACTTTTGCTAAATAGGCCAGACCTGTTTTTATAAAATTAAAGCTCAAGTCTGGCCTATCGGCGGTTAAAATATATATCTAAGGCTTAGGCTTAACCTATTTAACTCGCTGAGCCTATTTAAAAATATGTATAATATTTTTTATTTTTTTATTTTTCAAACTTGATATTCGTAAAAAATATAAATAAATTATTTATTATGTATATGTTATAGTTGAAAATTTTGTCGATGACGGCTCAATAAAATTAGATCAGTCGAAATTGACAAGAATTGGGTTCCCCGGCCTACTCAAGAAAGTGTCCGGGCTAGTCTCGTATTCAAAAATAAATTTGTATGGAAATGTTTCAATTATGCTTAAAAATCAAATTAAATCAAGTATGACTATACGGAATTGGGATGAAAATTTGAATGGACAAACCATAGGAGCTGAAATAAAAAATTAACTACTAAAAATAATTGCAATGGAATGAAAGAAATTGGATAAATATGTAGTTACTCAAATGAAAATTAGTGCATGAATTAGAATTGAGTAACATAGGATCGAAGCTTTAACAAAAATAAGGAACAATAAAGAAAAAAAAAAATAAGAAAATAAGAATTTGAGTTTGACGTTGGATGTCCCTTTAAATATTCATGGATTTGTGTTATTCTCCCAGTGACTCTAGCTCCTCAACTCAACTACTTTATTCCACAATTTTCTCTACTTTTTAATTGTTTAGGAAGACTCTAAACCCAAGTTGTAGGTTTGACAAGGTTCTCATTCATACACAATCTTGAGCTTGGTTAAAATTGTTTGGGCTGGTCCATCCACTCCTCCTAGCTGGACTGCTAATCACATCCGAAGGCCCATAAAAATTATTTGGGCAAAAAGTTTGCCGAAGTTTGAAGTTCAACATTTTTGTATGAGATTTTGACGGTATCTTGATCCAAGCTTCATTTAGCCTCATCCGGCAGCGGTAGAGAGCTGGTCCGGGTCGTCTCAGAGCCAGATTCGTTGGGGAGTGCGACGGTTGGATTAAAACTTCTTGGTTTTCTTGGTAAATCCAACCGCCTTGACCTTGAAGTCGTCTTTGTACCGTAGGGCTTGCTCCAAGTCTCGATTTTTTGCTATGATGTTGAGACTGACCTCTGAAATTCTATCATATTCGTGAGCTCTAATCATAGGTTCGTCCTCCGTATCTAGAGCTTTTGGATCATTTGGAGGGGGTTGTTCATCCGAGACAACTTTGTTGTCTGAAATCACTCGTTTTGGCATCCACTCTTGTCAGATCTGGTACGGACGTTGTAAACTACTTTTGTCTACACATTTTATTCTGATCCGTCCGTATATGGCCTGCTCGGAACTCACTTTCTTAATACCCCATCTCCTTTTGACCGAAACTAGCTGTCCGGCGCCGACTTTGCTTTCTCCATCTTTGCGCTCTCGTCTTCTTCTTCTTCCGGTCACATTCCCAACGCTCATCCTTTGGGGGCTGCTCGTAATGCTGCGTTGGATGAAAAATTATTACCAATCGATCCACCGAAGTCATTTTCCATCTCTCTCAATTTCTTGAAAATGGATTTCCGCAAATGTGTCGCTACGATTCCTCCAGTTTTTGTTGGCCTTTTCTGCTGATGCATGAGATCTCATTGGAACATGAGATGTTTGGATGGTCACAGAGGTTTGATCAGATTTTTCCTCGACATCGAATTTGCCTTCTTGCGCATGTGGTGAGCGATCTTTTCCACTGACATTCTGGAGGAGCTATTCCGCCTTGGCTGCCTTTGCAAAAACCTGTCGGAAATCTTTATACACTTGAATGGCTAATTTGTCACGAAGTTCACGTGTCATATTGTCGACCGCCATGTCGAAAATTTGGTTTTCGGGTATCCGCACCTAAAACTGATCTTCTGCGCTGCAAAATCTTTCGAAAAAACTTCCTATCGGCTCATTATGCTTTTGTTGTACGTTAGTTAAATCAGATACTGTCACCTCCGAAAGCAGTCTGTAAAACCGCTCGTGGAATATCTTTTCTAGGTCTTTCCATGTATGAAATGAATTAGAAGGGAGAGATGTATACCAAGTGAAGGTTGGCTCAGTGAGGAATAACAAATATAGTTAGAGTTTGCACCACTAGTTTTCCCAGAAATCACCTCTGCACTGCGCCGTGAATCGATCGACATGCTCAATCGTTGAGCGCGAGTCCTCCCTCGAAAAAAGCATGAACTCTGGGGTCCGAGTATTTCGGGGGAGAAGATGGTCGACGGTGATCTGATCCGAGAATGGCCATTGATAGTACGGCCTTGCGGGCAGCCGGACCGGGTCCCTGTATATTCTTCGGACCGCCTCTTCGATTTCCTACGGATCGATAATCAGGCGTGTAGGTGAGGGAGGGTATTTTTGTGTGTTCTCCGGGCAGTACAGGGGGTGGTGTTTGTCTGCCCGGATCTGGGGTTGTTACGTCTGGATTTGACGGAGTTGACCATTTCGGAGCCAGCGGATCTTTCCACGCTCTTTTCCAGCACTGATAACGCTTCCAGAGGTTGCGGAGGTGGTGGATTTACATCTCTTGTCGCCCTCAAAGGTAGCAGCATCATCGGGCTGCTTTTTGGGTAATTTCCAAAGCTGGATACGCTTATGGAGGTGGCAGGGCTATCCTCCGGATAATATCCGGAGCTAGAAGTGCTCCCGGAGGTGGCAGGGCTGTCCTCTGAGCAGAGTCTAGAGCTGAAAGTGCTCCCAAAGATGGCGGGGCTGTCCTCCGGGTAGTATCTTGAGCTAGAAGTGCTCTTGGAGGTGGTGGGGCTGTCATCTGGATAGTGTCTGGAGTTGGAAGTGCCACCGAATGTACCTCCTAGGTCGTTAATGGTGCCGTTGGCGCTGGATGTGTTGCTAGAGGTGCCTCCCGAGTAATCCACAGAGCTGGTGATGCTCCCAGAGGAATCAGAGCTGCCCCTCAAGTCATATGTGGCGCCGCCAGAGCCGAAAAGTTCCCGAATGGTATCAAAGCCCCCTAATTTCGAGATCCATAATCTTGGAGCTGGCCGGACACCTTAGAAAAATTCATCCTGTGATATGCTCCTTGCCCCCTATGCAGAGGTAGCACCATGGAGTCGGTACGTGTTATCCCTACGCCACTGCGACGGCCGAAAAGGCTGCTCCCCAGGATCCTGAAGGAGGCGGGACTGCCCCTAAGGTACACTTGGAGGTGGTGCGGTTGCTTCTCAAGTGGTTCCGGAGGTCAGAGGAACGACTAGAAGTGTCGGGGCCATGTTCGGCCATGCCCCACAAGTGTCGACGGTCACTCCTTGATTATTGCGATCCAAAATCGATGTATAAGTACCTGTTCCACCAAATAAGGGGTTAGTGCACCATTGAGAGGTTGGTGGCATTCCTCTGATGCTTTCCTTAGGTCTTTGGAATGGTGGTTGTCCTGTAGTAGCCTGCCCGAAGGATGTTGCTGCTTCAGCCATGAGCTCATTAAGGGCGCATTTGTTGTTGGTCCCTCGAGTCATTACAGCCATGTTGCCATGTCGGAACATTGGCGAAGTGGATCCGATGCTGCCCCCAGTTCCACCCTTGACAGAGGATCGTTTTTGGCAGGTTCGGTGTTGGTCGTGGAAGCTTCTCTTTTGTGAATCTCTTCTTCCCTCACATTCGAGTTCATCGCGGCTGGTGAGCTTTAGTAAATCCATATCATATTGAGAAAGCTCCAACGCCGACCCGTGGAGTGCCGTTTGGATCTCTCCCAGGATCTGATCTTGTAAAATGCGAGCCGAGATTGCCACCATTCTTTCCACACTTCCTAGAGCTGAAGAGGATTCGTCACGTGTGATTTC